ACGTGAGCCGGGACGTGGCCAGCCTTGCGCGGCGTCTGCATCAAGGAGCATCCCTCGTGCGTCCAGACCCCGTCAGAACCCCAGGACGTGGCCCGGTGTGGAAGCCATCGTTGCCAGTGAGGATTGTGGAGGGAAGCGAGGGGCCGGGAAGAGGGAGGCCCTCAGGGAGGTGGACGGATACGTGGCTGCAACCGTGGACTCAAGCCCGGGAACCGCTGTGAGGGTGTCGCGGGACAGGAGGTGTCTCACTCCGCTGTGCACAGGGTGGCTGTGAACCAGAACCCGGGAGGGGAAGCCATCCATCCAGATGGTTGGGACCAAGGGGCTGAATTCTCTGTCCTCACCCTCCCTCCTGGGTCTCCAGGTTCTGGGCTGAACCTGGTAGAACCCTGGCAGCAGCCAGGGACCCGCTGTGGAGGGGGTTCTAGGCATGCTGCCGGGAGCCTCCTGCTCCCTGGGAGTCTGGAGCTCCTTTGGGATTCAAAGAAAGGCAGCAGGGACTGGCCAGCGAGACAGGGCAGCTCAACTCCTGGGCTGCTACAATACCCCCAGTGCCCACCCCCCTGCCTTGCCCCTCACCACGGTTTCCCAAGGCCAAGTCCGCCCTGCTCCCCAAGCTGCAGGCACATGCCCCTTCTCCCCGGCTCAGAGTCCGCAGCAAAGCTATTCAGCCCCCGCTCCACGGCCCCCAACACCGTAGAACCCCATCACCTCTGAAATTGAACCCGACCCACTGCCGCTGAGTGGGCTCTGACCCCCAGGGGCAGTTCCTCTGTCCTGCAGGGTCACTGTGAGTCTGAAGTGAGCCCATGCCGAGGAGAGAGAAGCTCACCGTGCCCCGTCTCTCGGGCAATTTGGAGAGAATTTGCCCAGTGCCACTCACGGTGTGATTTCTCGCCTGCCGCTTCTGCGGGGCCTGGTGGCCCTGTGCGCTCCCCATCGAGCTGCCAACTGCAAGGCCAGCAGCTCAGCAGCTCAGCCACCGGGCAGAGGGAGGACGAGGGGCTCTCTATCCTGGAGAGACGGCTGGCCTCGGAGCCCACCTTGGGCAGCTCTACTGGGTCAGAACCTGCAGTGGGTAACTGCTCTGTCCCGTCACGCAGACTTGCTCCGTGTCAGAACTGACTGGACCTCACGTGTTGTGGTGGTCCGGTTCCATTTGGAGAGTGAGCTGACCCTGGGCATCCGGTGGTGGGCAGGTGGTGGTGGTACCTCGGGCCCGGAAGGGAGAGCATGGGGCCCAGGGTTGGGGCTGGGCCCAGTCTCCTGAGACACTCGTGGGCCCTTCCAGAGAGAGGCCACCCAGGAGTCCTGATGAAATTGAACCTGACGCAAAGCTGAGGCACTGAGAACAGAGTCCAGGGGACAGTCCCCCTGGCATGGAGGGAGGGGTGCCGCCATGCAGGGCCCGGGGGCCCTGGTGGCATGACATGGTAAGCTCTGGACTATGTACGGGAAGACCAGTGGTTTGAACCCACCGTCCTCTCCCGGGAAGGAGGTGAGGCTGCCTGCTCAGTGGACAAAGAAACCCTACAGGGCAGGTCAATCTTCGGATTGGGGTGCACCTCATGCTCCTCGCTTGAGTCCCCGCCCAAGTTCAGATCCGTGTTGGGAGCTGCACGGGCACTCAGGCAGGCAAATGAGTCACCCTCAGCCATCAGAGGTGGCCACCGCGCATCGCCGGACGTGTTGCCCTGAGCCCTGGCCCCACTGGCTGCCACTGACACACACACACACACACACACACACACACACACACACACACACCACCACACCCCAGACTCACAGTCCAGTCCTAGCCAGTGAGGGTGGGGGAAGTGGCCGTAGGCGGTCCAAGGCTGTGTCATCTTGCTTTGCTCTGAGAGTCCTTTTCGATGTCAAAGAATGAAGGCAATGCAGGTGTAGGTTGGTTTGACCTGGTCTGGAGCCACTGCCTGCAGGTCCCACCATGCAGCCCACCCACCCGCTCTGCCTCGCTTCCCTGTCCTGGTTGGTGGGGCTCTCGCGTGTGTGCCAGCCCAGGGCTGTGGGCTGTGTGACTGCAGCATCAGTGGCTCCACCTGCCACTGAGACTCTGCTGAAGATCCCCCAGCACCGGTCGCAGCGTCCTTGGACCGGGAGCTGCTGGAGGTCCAGGCAGGCCGGTCTGTAAGAGGATGTGGAAGGAGGGCTCTCATTGCTGACCTCAGATGGATCTTGGCTCAAAGCGGAGAAGACAGAAAGAGGTTGGCTTGTGTCTTAGTGATTATCGAAAGGCGATCGGCTGTGTGGATCACAACAATCCGTGGGTCCCAGAGCGCTGCATCACGCTCACGCAGAACCTGTGCGAGGATGGCGTTGATGCCGTCGCGGTGGCAGCGCTGGTGCAGCCCCTGTTGAGATGCCTGAACTAGGGAGTTGTAAGGTGTCTGGATTGTGTGCTAATAAAATGGTCAATTAAAAAAAACCTGCCAACTCGTGTCCAGTCCCACGTGTGGAGCCCCCACGTGGGGGTCCTGAGACGGTGAGTCATCTCTCTCCCATGAAGGGGCTGGCGCATCTGGCCCTCTTCTCTCTGGTTTTTAATTTTAATTCATTGTAAAAAACCATTTGATCGGGGGCTCTTACAGTTCTTACAACAACCCGTCCACCAATGGTATCAAGCACATTCAGCCCTCTGGTGCCATCATGGTTTTATAAACATTCCCTCGCTCGTGATGGACGACCCGACGCTGACGTCAGCCATGGTCAAGACAAGAGGGGCAGTGCCACAGAGCAAGGGCATGCTGCGTGGCTGAACATCGGTGTGGCCCAGGGGGTGGCCCCTCACCCACTGGCTCACTGTCTTCTGAGCAAGTCTTCAGAGGAGCTGGGTCAGGAAGAGTGTGGCATCAGGAGCGGAGGGAGGCTGCGGAGCCACCTGCGGTGTGCAGAGGACGCAGCCCTGCCTGCTGAAGGCGGGGAGGCCCTGAGGCCCTTGCGGATGCAGATCAAGGATGGCAGCCTTCCGTGTGGATTACGACGCAGTGTCGGGGAGACAGACGGGAACGTCACAGCCGGATCAACCAAGGGATTAACAAGCATGCCGAAGGGAGAGCAGATTGGCGTGGTCAACGGTTTCATCTCGCGTGGCCACAGCCGACGCTCGTGGAAGCGGCAGTCACGAGATCCAACGATGTGTTGTGTTGGGTAAATGTGCTCGCTTTACGGGACCTCTTTAAAGTGCTGCAGAGCAAGGGTGTCACTTTGAGGACTGAAGGGTGCACCGGACCCCAGGCATGATGTTTTCGGTGGCTTCGTGTGCACGTGCACGTTGGACACGGACTAAGGGAGACCGGAGAAGGGATGCATCTGCATGAAGGGCTGGAGAAGGACGTGGAAAGGCCACGGCCGGATGAACACACACATCTGTCTGGAAGAAGCACGGCCAGGCTGCTCCTTGGAGGTGGGGATGGCGAGACTTGGTGCCACGTGCTTTAGACACGCTCTCAGGGGAGACGGGTCCCTGCAGAAGCACAGCATGCTTGGTCAAGAAAAAGAGATGGACGGCCACAGTGGCCGCGGACGGGCTCCGGCCTGGGCGTGTTTGTGAGGATGGCCGGGGCTGGCGGTGTTTCCCTGTGGTGCATCAGGTCGCCTGGGTTGGAGCCGGCTCCACGGCCCCTACGTACAACACCTGTTTCTAGGGGAGCAGAAAGCCACACCTTTCTCCTCCATCGAGGCTCGTGGCTTTGAACAGCCGACCCAATGGGGTCACCCACCCACCATGCCGCCAGGGCTCCCTCCAGGAGCAGGGGTCAGGTCAATCCAGTTGTGTGTCCCAGGAGCTCAGAGCTGCAAGCCAACATCAAGAAAGCTGGACCGGGCGCCGGGCTGGGGGCCACCTGCTCGCAAACACCAGGGCAGCTGTGCCTTGGGCCCAGCGAGGCACAGCCAGACTGCCCAGGCCCGTCTCCTCCCTGTGGTTCACCAGTCTGGCTCAGCCAAAGCGTCTTTGCAGAGGGCCAAAGACAGGCGCTTCTAAATTTGGTAGAGACTGCAAATCTCAGCGCCTTTGTCCATGCAGCCAAGTCCCAGGCACTCTCCCACCCTCCCCCAGCCTCCAGTGCGGGGGAGGGGCGCCCCGTCCTCTAGAACCAGGGCTGTGTGCTGCCCGCAGCTGCACCAACCTGCCTGTTGGGTGGATCCTAAGGCAGGTGTGCACAAGACACCTCGATGCACAGGGCTCTGGGTCCCACGGGCAGATTCCAGGGCCCCTCCCCGGTAGAGAACTGGATTGGGGGTCAGCCCCCTCATCTCCCACTTCCTGGGACTCCTCACTGGGAGGGGACAGGGTGCTTCCTCTACACCCCAGGGTGTTTTCTTTGGGGTGTAGGGGACCACTTGTCAGATTCAGTCCTCCCGGATTCGGGGAGCTAGCCCCCCCCAACCCACCCCATCCTTTGCTGGGGCCCTGAGGCAGAGGGCAGCCACCCCTGACTCCCCCTCCAACTGGGTCCACAGGCCCTCCCCACCCTGAGCCCCACCTTCCCGAAGCCAGGGCCTGCTCTTCCTGGGGACCACTCCCTGCTGCCCCGCGCACCAGTGACCAGTAGATTCAAGCCTGCCCTACTTACCCCAACCCCTGGGGGGTCTCTGCCCCCCTGGCCCTCAGCTTGCATCCCCCTCCCCCCTCAGTGGTGGACCCAACGGCTCCCTATCCCCCTCCCCCCAAGCTCCTTGTCAGTGGCTGCCTCGCTGGGTCTGGCAGTGCTGCCGGATGCTCAGCACCGGTGACTTGTTAAGGAGTCCTGGCAGGGCAGTGGGTTACATGCTGGGCTGCTAATCACAAGGTCAGCAGTTCGAAATCACCAGCCATTTCATCTGCTCTTCATTAGCCTCAGGAAAGCAAGTGGTTGAATTAGAACCCCGAGGTGGTATCCACCTGGGCCTGACTTTTCTCGGAGGATGAATGGGGCACAAGCAGCACCCCCCACCCCCAAGGACACCCAGGACTCAGTGCCGAGAGAACAGACCAGTGGGACTTCTAATTCATCCTGTTTTATTAAAAAAAAGACGAACAAAAACAAATCCGATATTGGATTCAGCTATTTTCCATGAAACGCCACTGAGACACACAAGATAAGGCCCGTCCATCTACCCAGTGTAACAGACAGGCAGGCCAGGCACAGGGCGGAGTCTGTCTGTCTTTCCACCCAGTGTAACAGACAGGCAGGCCAGGCACAGGGCTGAGGGCCACTGGGCGGCGGCCACACGTGGACTGGCAGGACAGGGGGCCTGGGACTGCAGACAGGAGACGATGCTGCAGAGCGGGTAGCAGGCCAGGACCGGAGGGCTGACCGTGGGAATAAATAATGCGGAGGAGGCTGGGTGGCCTCGAGTCAGTGAGATGCTTAGGCCCGGAGCTGGATGACCGCTGGACATGCAGGGTTTGAAGAGGACGAGGTTGGCCTTGGGGAGTGCCCACAGGGGCTGGAAGCAACAAGTCCCTCAGCAGCTTGGCCTGGCCCCCCGGCAGGACCCCACCCACCACGTCAGAGGTAGGGGAGGTGGGGCTGTGGGGCAGGCTTGACTCAGCACCATGGGAAATGCCCAACTTCCAAGTGGGGGACCCAGGCCCAGAAAACCCAGCAGGTAAGGGGACCTGGGCCAGCCGGCCACCAGTCGTGTGGGCTCAGATGGAAACCTGGTGGACAGGCTGGGCAGAGGCTTGGTTCCCAGTCCTCTGGCCCCCTGGCCGGCCCCCTCCGCCACCCCCAGTTCTGCCATCAGCAGGTCAACTGTTCAGAGTGGGGTCTGGGTGTGTGGTTGGCAGGTATTCCCCCGCCCCTCCCCCCGAAGTCTGTCCCACCACAGGCCCAGCTGAGCTGCCCACTGGGGTCCCGGTCACGGTCACACAGCGGCCTGCCAGCCCTGCCTGCCCGTGGCCATCAGGTCTCCAGAGCAGGGCCTGGTCTGAGCGGCGCAGGCCCCCAGGGTGGGTCCTTGCGGCAGGGCCGCTCCAGACTTGGTTCTGTTGGGCCCCGCCTTCAGTCCAGCTCTGGGCGTGCCCAGCTCAGAATGCAGGGGCCCCCAGCGGGGGCAGCAGGTAAACCCGCCCCCATGGGCACGGTTCCTGGCCACACCTGATAGGACTTCCATAGGCCAGCGCCTGGAGCAGGGTTGGGGTGGGGTGGAGAGCTCTCACTGCCCGGGGGCCTCTCTCTGGGACGGGCTGGTCTGCAGGGACAGGTCCCTGGGAGTCGGACACTGGCCGTGACAGACGAGAGGGAGTGCCTATGCTGAGCCCCAGGGCTGGGGGGGTGGGGTGGTGGTAGCTGCCATCTCAGTGTCAGTGCAGGTCTGATGAATGAGGAAGGGTCTCAGTAGTTCTGGAATGTTCTGTGACTGGAGTGTGGGTTCAGAATCCTCTGCTCTGGGGCCTTGGAGGCAGAAGCAGGGCCTCCCCTAGAAGTGGGGGGGTCCTCCGCCACCTTTCCCTCATCCACTTCTCTAGAACACTATCATCTGACCCGGCAGGGAGAGAAAGGAAAGTCACCAGGAACGTGGGGAGGGTGGGGAGCGGTCCTCGGGTCCCCCGGTTGGAGCCAGGCCTGGCCACTCCTTGGCCAGGCACCCTGCGCCTGGCTCCCCTTTGTACCGGTTCTTCAGTGTCCGAGCTGGCTCGTGGGGGTGCTCGGCCACGCTGTCGGGGTGTTGGGGCGTGTTGCTTGAGGGGCGAGGGGTCCAGGGTGACGTGTGTGGGGTCACCTCCCAGCAGCTATGTCTCCTGGGGGACCACCTCCATGAGCTTCTGACAGAAGACCGTGGTGGAGTCTGGGGGGAGGGGGGGCATGTAGAAGAGTTAGCTCAGAAGCACAGTCAACACCCTCAGATGAATCTCCCTCTCGACACACCCCCCCACCCCCGTCCCCACTGGCCAGTCAGAAATCAGGCATAGGGGGGCCTCTGGATGTGTGTGTGGGGCTCCCCGGGGACTGCCTGGCTCTGTGGACACCCCTGACCGTGGAGCCCTGAGCTAAGTGCTGAGCCTGCCTGGACAGAATGCCTGTCTGGGGCCCCACTGACTGCCAGGAGCCCAGCCCCCCCACCCAGATTCTGTTGCCCGGGCCCTGGCATCAAACTCAGGCTGACCGAGCACCCCCTGCGCAGGTTGCCTCAGGGGCAGAGTGCCCCCGGCCACACGCTGGATGCAGACTTCGGCATCCTGCATCCTGGTCCAGCACGGGGCTGGCGGGCAGCGGGCAGGAGGCAGAGTTGCTCCTTGGCTGCCGATAACTGGCTTCTGGAATCCCTTGTTCTGGGATTAGCCAGCACTGATCCCTGAAGCTCGGGCCTGGGTCACCGCCGGGCACAGTGACCCCAATCCTCCAGGGCTCATGTATCCTGGACCACGGTACAGAGTGGGATGCGGGCCCGGGGTGCTGAGCGGGGCGGGGTCCCTGGCACTCACAGATGCCCCGCAGCAGCCACTTGGGCTTGTTCTTCCAGGAGACCCCGAGGAAGTAGACGGGGAGGCCGCTAAGGATGATGGCAAAGCCGATGCCACACTCCACGGGGGTCTTCCAGAAGGAGACAGCGATGAGGAAGAGGCAGGCCAGGGTGAAGAAAACGGGCAGGGCCAGGTTCACCTGGGGGTGGAGGGCGTGGTCAGCAGGCGGCCTTCACGGGGGCAGGACTGGTCCCTCTGTCTGAGGTCCTCAACCCCCCGCCCCAGAACTTCTGGGCTCAGGGAAACCCTTGCCCGCAGGCTGCGCCGCGTCTGCGCTTGGATTCCGGTTGCGGGGCACGCCCACCTGCCCTCCTGAGGAACCCCGTGTGCCTGCCTCACCCCCAAGCTGGCCCGAGGCGCCCGGAGGCAATGAGTGACCACAGCTCAGCAGCTGGGTGAGGAGGACCAGCAACTTGGACAGCCAGGGCCTGGGTTCTCCCCTAGTGACCCCTGCAGGTGGGCGCGCAGGCGAGCACCGGGGCACCCATCAGCTGGTGGACACAGCATGGACAGGGAGGTTTCAGTCAGCACCTCCGCTCCAGAATCACCTGGCCTCCAGGTGGCGGCGCTGGGGGGAAGCCTGCACGTTTGGAGACCAGCCTGCCCTTCCTTCCATGCCCCAGGCCTGGCTCCCAGGCACCTAGCCCCCTCTCCACCCCCTCCCACCAGGCTTGGGGCCCCGAGGGGGCAGGGCCGGCGGCGGGCACGGGCCCACCTTGATGGGCCGCTCCAGCTCCGGCTTCTTGTGCCGCAGCCACATCATGCCGATGATGGCCAGAGCCACGCAGAGCCAGTTGAAGAAGCTGAAGAAGTTGATGACGGAGAAGATGTCGTTGGAAAAGGCGTAGAGCAGGGTCATGGCGCACTGGAAGGAAGCAGGGGCCACGGGCGGTGAGGGGCCAGACGGGGGAGACCGTGGGGGGGGACGACGCGGAGGGAGTGGGCGAGGCCAGCTTACCGTGAACACCAGTGATGGCATCGGGGTCAGGAGTCTCGGGTGGATCATGGAGAGGACGGAGGGCAAGTGGCCCTCCCTGGACCCCACAAAGAAGAGCCTGTGGGCAGAGTGGATCGCCAGCAGTCAGCCTCTGGGAGGACGCAGCTGCACGGGCCCCAAGGACAGAAGGGTGGGGGTCCTCTCAGCCCGTACTGCCAGCCTGGAGGGGACCCAGAGAGGGGGCCCCTGGTGGGGTGAGCCCGGAGCCCCTTCCCATGTGTGTGCGCTGACCCCGGCACGCCTCCCTGCAGCCTCACCTGGAGGACGTGAAGAGCGACCCGTTGACGGAGCCGAAGCAGGACAGGCCCACGAAGACGGGGATGATCCAGGACATCACACCCAGGTGGTAGTTGCCGAAGTCCTGGCGGGAGACACCAGGCACTGTGTGATGCAGCTGGGGCCGGCAGAGCGCGCGAGGCCTGGGCCCCGCCCCTCAGAGCAGCAGCTAACCTCTGTCCCCGCTCCTGGGTACCCATGGGGGCCCTAACCATCACCCGAGGGTGCCCCGTCCCACGGAGCCACGCCTTACCACGGCCACGGCCTCGGAGGCCAGCATCTGCTCGGTGGACAGCGTGGTGAAGTAGGCCAGGTTCGTGAGCACGTACACCAGGGTGACGATGGGCAGGGAGATGATGATGGCCAGGGGCAGGTTCCTGACAGAGCAGAGGGGCAGGGGTCAGCTGGTGGCCCAGGCTCCAGGGCTGTGCCGAGACCCCTGTGTGGCCCCTGGTCTTTCTGGGCAGCAGACCTCGCTTCCCTGCACCGACAGCCCCCCTCTCACGGGCCCCAAGCTGGGGCAGCTGGAAGAACTCCCTGTTCATCGGGCTTCAGGCCTCCTGGGCCTCTCCTGGGGTCGCAATGGTCTCAAGAGACTGCCCACGGGTGGGAGTAGGGGCCACTCCAGTGACATTTGTGACCGTCCAAGGCCACACACCCCTGAGGCCCTCCAGGTCCAGGAACCAGCCCCTCCCAGAGTTCTTGCACAACCTGACCCCGCCTCAGAGGGGTCGCACAGTGCCAGCTTCGGGTGAGTCAGCTGTCTGCAGAGCTCTAAAACACTGCAACGCCGACCTGTACACACCTGTAGGGGTTTATCATCTCTTCCGTGACAAAATTCAAGTAGTTCCTGTAGGGTGGGGAGAGAACAGAGTTTGAACAGCTTTTTTCTCCACCCCCATGGGCATCTGCTGGGAGAACACTGGTCCTACTGGCAGAATAGCAGGCCAAGCACACACACACACATACACACACACACACAACCTGTGGCCACGAAGCTGGGGCAGTTGTGTCTGTTTGTCTTCCTGCTGGTGCAGCCATTGCTGCATCTAAGGCACATGTGTAGCCCGACTGGAGCTGGGGCTCGCCCGCCTTGCCTGAACTGTCATGCACCCACTGTGTGCACAGCTCAGGGGCCCTGGTGAGCATTGACTTTAGGGGCACACTGCTACACCTCTGAGTTTGAGAGGCCGCAGAGGAAGGAAGCAGACAGAGGGACAGAGGAGTGAGTCAATTTGGCTGGGGAGCAGATTTAGCCAAGGTCCTCCCTAAAAGGTGTGGCTATTTGCAGGGGCTTTGGGGTGCCTGCCTGCCTGTAGACAAAGGGGCAAGCAGCAGAGCTGAGAAAGGTGGTGAGGGTGGCCACTTGTCCCTTCTTGGGACAGATGTCATGAGGGGACTGTCAGCCACCTGTCGATGCCCACAGGCGCTGAACCTGGGCATTCTGGAACCTACCATCCCCCGTAGGCAAAGAGGCCGCTGTACAGGGCCAGGACGATGTTCCCAACGTCGAGGTTGGTGCCTTCGAAGGAAGACTTGGGGTCCAGGTTCGACACATCACCTGGCAGAGCCCAAACAGAGAAATGCTGAACAAGTTCCGGAATGCTCCTCAAGCAGGACAACCAGCAACACAACAAGCACGCCAAGGTGGAGGCGGCAGCAAATTAAAGGCACCTGCTGGCCGGCCCACCAGACCGACACTGCCCAGCCATGGCCAGCACTTGTTGGCCTGCCAAGGAACGTGGCTGGGGGCAAGGGACCGAAGGATGGGCAGGCAGATCCTGCAATGGCGTCCTGTCACACAGGTGGCCATTTGGACGAAGACTGCTGGGCCTGCACCCCAAGTGGAGGTAGCCCCCCACCCCCACCCCACCCCCCGGCTGCCAGCTGTCGGTGTGGGCAGTGCTCAATGGATAGCGGAAGGTTGTGTCCTTTCCTTGGGGTGGGGTGGGGGTGGTCATCATAGCCGCTTGGTACTCAGGTCACCGTTGTGAGGTGGGTGGGCCTGAGTCAGCTGCCCGGTGGGCTGTGTGTCATAGGGACGGGCAGGGCAGTTGGGCTGTGCACTCTGAGGGCAGGTGGACGCCACCAAGTCCCTGCACGTCAGTGGCTCCCTCGAGGCCCTGGGTGTTTATAGGCTTTTGATCATGCAGCTCAGGATTAGATGTGGGCTGGCTCAGGATCAGACATGGGTTCTGAGGGCCCTGCCAGGCATCTCCTGACTAAGGGAGCC